GGAATAAAAGCTCTCGGGGGTGGGTTAAAAGATGGGGGGGTCGGAAAAAAGCTCAAGGGGGTGGGAAAAAAGACGGGCCCGGCTTGCAGCCCTTAGAGGCCTAGCGCGGGACAACTTTCTCAGTGCTGCGAATAATGGTGCTACTGCTGCTGCTGCTACTACTTCTTCTTCTTCTACGTACTACTACTTACTACTTACTACTTACTACTTACTACTTACTACTTACTACTTACTACTTACTACTTACTACTTGCTACTTGCTACTTGCTACTTACTACTTACTACTTACTACTTACACGTACTACTTACTACTTACTACTTCCTACTTACGACTTACTACTTACGACTTACGACTGACTACTTACTGCTTACGACTTACTACTTACTACTTACTGCTTGCTGCTTACTGCTTACTGCTTACGACTTACTACTTACTACTTACTACTTACTACTTACTACTTACTACTAACTTCTGCGGCTTGTGCTCCTACTGCTAACTACCGGGACCACCACTCCTCTCCTCCTCGTTCTACTACTACCACCGTCACCACTTGTTGCTACTCCTCCTCCAGCTGCTGCTCTTTCTACTACACCACCATGGCACTTCATGCTTCAAGCGTCCTCCTTCACTTTCGGCACGAAGTTGATCCCCAGTGGAGAACTGCCCGACCCTAAGCTCGTCACGGAGCCCAAAGCTGGGCAGTCGAGGCCCGAGCCACAAGGCAGGCAACTCAAATTGCCGTCGTCAGCCTGAAAGGGGACAAGGTGTACAAAGTATCGTGTCCCCCAAACTTGTCCATTGCTCAAGTTGCAGCTGCCCTGCTGTTGCCCCCTAAACTACATCGACGTGCCCACCATGACCAGGACAGCTGCTGCTGGAGCACAGGCTCCTACTCCTCATCCTGCTGCTACTTTCTAATTCTACTCCTACTTCTCTTACCCCTACTAGCCCTACTGCTGCCTAGGCCTACGACTACGACGTCGACGACAACGACCCCGAGTGCTGTGCATGCTGTTGGTTGCTCCTTGGCTCTGCGTCAAATCTTATGCAGCTGATGATCGTTTGCTGATCGGATGATCAAAGTACCGGCCTGATCAATGAAGCCAGCCTCACATCCACAGTCTGCCAGAGAGACTGAACCGAGGCCCAAAGTTGTGCCGCTGGGGCAGAGGACGCAACGAGGCGATCCAGGCTCATCCTGGTAATACCCAATCTCGCAGCGATTGCAGGTTTGCTTGCCCACCTCGTTCTGATACTCACCTTCATCTTGGCGGCTTGCTTCGAAGGAAACCACACGAGATAGGGCGAGAAGTAGATGGGAATCTTCCGAATCTGTACTGTATGCATATTAGACAAGACTTCATCCGGCTTCTTATGGCAGGACTATCACTGGGATGATAAAGCCGCTCTTCTTGGCTTGGTTTGGGTCCCAGTTTGGGTTCAAGGTTTTCTGCCGCGTGGGGTTCAGGGTGTAGGAAATCCCAAGTCCAGCGAAGCTGAAGGCGTAGCTGCTTGTCTCCCCTAACCTGAAAACTCTGCACCCTGAGCAGTCAAGGAGAGATGCCTGGGTTGCACTTCTCGCACTGCAAAGCTGCACCGGACGGCTGGCTTGTGCCGGGTGCGCAGCGCTTGCATTCGTAGGTGAAACCTTGAGCGGCAAGATTCTTGAGGCTAGGAATACCGGTCTTCTTTACCGTGCCGATGTTCGCTTTTGTGTTTACGCGAGACACTCGGTTTCCTGACCGGCTTCAGCGCGACCATAGCAGTGGTTTCAAGCATTAGAACTAGCAGTTTTCTGCTGTTGTTGATAACTTAACGGTAGTACCGATATTGCTACTGTTACTACTTGTGCTATTGCGAAATTAGCTGCTACCGTGCAAATCCACATTCTTGCGACGGTTGTCGTCGTCTTCGTGGGTTTGGTTTGTTGCTATTCAGTATTCTTTGCAGACTAGCGGGGCAGACGCTCGACCTGTAGTCTTTCAACGAACGTTCAGAACTGAGTTGAAGGCTGGTAACGATTTTAAGGCCCGACCATCATTTTTAGCTTCAGTACAACCTACCAAACATGTGCCGGCTGCCCTGAACGGAGCCACAAACCTGGAGAACGACCGAGATGCCCTTGACATCATCCAGGCGGGATGAGAATCGCCCAGACTCGCAGGCACGACATTCCAGGAATGTGGTCTTGTTCCTGTTGCTTGTGAAATCCGACAAGTTCGTGTCATACCTGGGACAACGTCAAGACTGCTGACAGAAAGAGCAAGAGAAAGAGCGAAACAGATACAGAAAGAGAGATGCCAGCAGTAGTAGTAGTAGTAGTAGTAGTAGCAGCAGCAGTAGTAGGAGGAGGAGGAGGAAGTGGAGGAGGAGGAGGGTAGTAGTAGTAGTCGTCGTCGTCGTCATAGTAGTAGTAGTAGTAGTAGCAGTAGCAGTAGTAGTAGTAGTAGTAGTAGTACTAGCAGCAGCAGTAGCAGTAGTAGTAGTGGTGGTAGTAGTAGTAGTAGTACTAGTACTAGTAGTAGTAGAAGTAGTAGTAGTAGTAGTAGTAGTAGTAGTACTAGTAGTAGTAGTAGTAGTAG